CCCCGAACCCGCCCCGTAAAGAATTAAAAAATATATATATATTTTTGGACATTGTTTGTTTTGGACATTTTTTATTTAGAATGCTTGCTTTGGATATTGATGTAGTTAGTTTGAACATTATTTACTTGGAATTTTAAAATTTTGAAGTTGTATTTTAATGGAAAGTATAAAAATAAATAAAAAACTAACAAATGGGGCAAGAAACAGGGCAGGCCTGTGCCCTGCACCTGCCCGCCTCGAGCCCCTCCCCCTTCCCGTCTAAGGTGGGGCGGGATAAGGGAGTAGCGTGGCGTGGCGGGGTGCCATCACTAATTACCACTTATACAAATGTAATTGTTACTTAGGTTGAGGGCAATCTCAGTATATTGGGATGTCACACAACAAAACCCCATCTTTTGGGTGTCTTTTTCTTATGTTGTCGTCCCCAAGTGGACAACTTCTAATCTATTCACTATACATGTTTTGGTCAAACTCGTGATGTCATTTGGATATAACTATGCTAAGATAGAACTATGAAAATTATCTTAAAATTAAACTCGAAGAACAAGTTATTACAAGGATATTATTCTTAAAATTTGATTGCTTAGTTGACTTTTTCGAGCTCTGATATTGAATTATAAATTAAAGTTCCACACGTCGAGTTTGTTCAATAATAACACTTAGTATCTATGTGATCTATTTCACGTTTTATAGTTTCCAAATGAAATAAGCAATATCTTTTGATAGGGTCGTCCAAAAAAATTATATTTTGTTATACAAAGTGATAGGACATTGAAAATTATCGACATAATGCGTTAAAATCGAATGATTCATCCACTAAAGGAAATACATATTATGACATCTTGATTTGTTTGTATATTTATAATTCACAACAGAAAATATCTTCCAAGAGTCTACTTTTTTACACGAGTAATGCTATTTAGTTTCAATGATACAAAAGGCACCCGTTTATAAGGAAAAATATTAATAAGATTAATGAATGGGTCTCATATTCCTACAATTTGAAGTTTTTCTATCTAGACGAGTATCTAAACACCACTGAGCTAGATAGTATCATTCTTTCAAGAGAGTACACGAGGATGTTATAGGTTTTGCTATCACTTATAATTTAATTAATAAAACTCTAGTTGGCAGTGTTTTTAAATCAGGTTTGGGAATTGATGTAGATGAAATCATTAATTTTTTTATTTTTTCAAAATATAAACTCCTAAAAAAAAAATAATTAACTGATAATTTAATGTAGTATACAAAGAACTAATGTTAGAATCAACGATTCTTGTCCCAATTGATTAGAGATTGTTGTTTCACCTCTGAGGTTAAAAGTTCAAAGATTTGTACCTTCTCCCTTCACTCCCCCTTCAAAAAGAATTAAAATAAATAAATTAGAACATACATATACATTGAAATGAGATGAAAAACTTATAATTATCTTATGTACACTCTATTGTTGATGTTAAAATATGTCAACGCTCTAATACCCTGTTTGACAACTATTATTTCAAAATTCTTTAATTTTCATATTCATTTTCAACCACATATTCGCACAATAAAATATTTTACACGTAATTAACCCAGAACTTTTCCTACTTTTAACCACACATTTTTCAAAAATTCACTATTTAAAACTCTATTTCCTTAAAATAATAGCCATCAAACATGGGCTAAATCATCAACATTGAGAGAACTTCGCACGTTCGAGCTTTTGATGAATCTTGAGAAACAAGATTATAAGAACAAGTGCTAAAAACAAGGTGTCATTCTTATCATCACATCTCACAATAATAAAAAATTATTGGAATAATTGTATGGTAAATAAAGTGGGGATTAGAATAATTTCTATCCTAAGTAATAATAAAGAGGTGTTTTATCAATTCCGTCAAATTCGAATCGTACCACCACCACTCACATTTTTAAGGGAAAAAAATGTCAAAAAACGTTCGATGTGATATTAGAATTGCGTTTTCAAGTGTTGCAGTAATTCATTTATGAATAATTTACGCGTCAATTATTTCATAAAATGAATTCAATCCGCAGTTGGAAAAAGTAAAAAATATGAGATATAAATTTGCCTCTTTATCCAAGAATCCAAAACTAACAAAGAGAAAACTATACTTGTCTTGCAAAGTTAGCATTTCTTTATTATTTATTACTAATTATCTAAATGTATTTGTCAATTACTTAGGTTGACGGTAATCTCAATGTGTCTGGATATCACACAACAAAAACACACCTTTCTCGGGTGGTTTTTCTCATGTTGTGGTCCGCAATTTGACTTCTATTTTATTTTAGTTTTAAACTCATATGGGTTGAGTGGTTGAGATATTTCATTTTATTTTTAAAATATTTGCAAGTTGATTGTTTCTTCAGTATCAATATTTTGAAAAGCTTATCCTTTTGTCAAAATGCCACATTGCCACTTGTTATTATTATTTTTTTGTTGACGTAGGATATCGCAATCGCTACTCGCCAACGGAGTCCCGACCACTCTGAAGGGGAAGAGGCCCGATCACTATGAGCGCACTAGGTAATCCCCGCTCCATGTGAAATAACTCGTAAATCACACATGAGAGATAAATCACACTAGGCAAGCCGTATGCGACGATCTCAATCAAGGAAGTGTTGGCAGAGAATTCGAACTCGGGACCTTTGGTCTCTGTGTTCACTTGCTCCACCAACTCGACCACCCCGGAAGGGACGCCACATTGCCCCTTATTATTCAATTATTAACATGCTTCAAGTCCATATCTTCATTAATCACATTTTCTCTAATGAAGTGTAATGCACTTTGACTTGCTTAGGGTCCGTTTGATTGCAATGGTGGAAAATAGGTGAAAAGAAAATGAATTTTAGGGAAAGTAATTGCCTAAAAATTGTCTTCCAGGGAATTGTTAATTAAGTGTTTTGATTGATATAATTTTTCAGCAGGAAAATTTTAAAATTTTGTGTT